TGCTGTGACACTTGATATGAAATTAGTGGAAGTGAGAGGAGTAGCCATATCAGTATTTCTGTTTTAAAATCTGTGTTGCAGTTAATGGGGGTTGTGCAGAACTTAAGCCAATAGCTAAATCTAAGATATTTGCACTTTGAACTCATGGCTGAAACTAAGTGTGCTAAATGTTGTATTAACCAATAATTGACAAGAACACCTCCTTGTTGGGATGTTTGGGAATAAAGATGAGAGTTTTTTCAGTTTTTCTGATGTATATTTAACCAGAGACAAAGAGAAAATTAGAGACATATCCTGAGCAAAAAAAAGGAAAGTACTATATTTTTTTGTAAGGATTTCTTTTACTTTTGCAAAGGTGAAAGATTGACCATAGGTATGTCTTGCCTTGACAAATTAGGAAGGGATTATTTTGATAGAACTTAGTAGAATACTGTTAAGTATTCTTATTCAACAGCCACTGCAGTACACCTGTTTATTTTGTTGCCAAAAGTATGAATGGGAGCACCTATGCTGGAAAATTAAAAAAGTCTAAGGCAATTGATAATCCATTTTCCATGAACTGAAATGCCAAAAAGTCTTTCTATAGACCTAGAGGCCAGCTGTAACCTCTCATCAACACAGATCCCACCATCACTGCACCAAACAACATAGAGTATAACATTCGGGGTTCCTTCAGCTGCTCCTCCTTCACCAGTGTCACATGTGCCATCATCTGCTTATGGTGTCTGTGTGCTATCTATATTGGCCAAATGGGGCAATCCTTACATAAAAAATGAATGGACACTAATTCAACATCAATTTCAGAAAAACACAAAAGCCTGTATCAGAACACTTTAATCTGGATGTTCTATCACCAACCTCAGAGAAGCTAACCTAAATGAAAAAAGTTAAAAAAAACCAACTTCAGCTTGAATTTTCCTAACAAGAAATCACCCACAGACTGTACTGGAGTGTGCCTGGAGAATCCAAATGGGGAAACCCAGCAGGTGCTTGCAGGGCTTCTAGGGCCTGATCCTGTAGGCCCTGGAAATGGGAATGGCCCAGTTCTCCACACCCCAGGAATTCCCATTTCCAGGGCCCACAGGATCAGGCCCTGGAAGCCCTGCAAGCACCTGCTGGGTTTCCCCATTTGGATTCCCCAGAGCTGTTCTACAGTGGTGCCTGCCCTGAGTGGCTGCAGATCAACTCTGGGCTGCCCGAACTCTATTGGCCTAAAGCAAACAGGTATCAGCTGCAAAATAGTGACAACAGTTTTTTGCAATGCTGGGCATTTGCGGAATGACCAGGGTCATTGATGTTTGTTTGCTTGGCCTTTGTGCCTCCATAAAAATATTTGTGGTGGCGCAAAGGTGATCTGCTTACATCCTTAATCTCCTTTCAACACTGTTAAATGTCCAATGGCTGACAGTGGGTTTAATGGTAGCTGAATGTGATTTTTATCTGGCTTACACTGGTAGCTAAATCACGTTCACCCTCAGTTCAGATCTAGCCATTTCTGACAATCATTGTTGTAAATGGTTCCATTTTATGGTGGGAGACAGGCTTAGTTCTACTCCACCTTTAATAACAGTTGCTGAATTAAATGCTGAAAAGGTAACCACCTGTGCATATGCTGTTTAGGATGGGCTTTGCAAAAGCCCATTTGGCTTTCTAAACTTTCTTAAAGTAAATTGGCTTAATTCAGAGAGCAGGACCAAACACTCTCCATGCTGAACATCTCCTTTAATGAACTAGATCGTTATATCAGTTACAATAACGTTGTATCAGTAACTGTTAACGGATCAGCTGATTTTTTTTTTCCAGAAGAAACTGGTTAAGAGTGCTAATATTGTCAGTAGGGTGACCGCATGTCCTTATTTTCAAAGTAGATGCTCTGCTCTGTGTCATGCTCAGCTGCATCTGCATTCTGGTCTCAACTGAATGTGCTGGAGAGCAAGGACTGCATGTGTGTGCGTGCGCACAGTGGGTAAGGGGAAGGGAAAACAGCCCCATTTCAAAAAGGGACTGTCCCAGCAAAAACAGCATGTATGGTCACCCTGCTTTGGAGTCAATGATAACAGAAACCAGTCTTAAGAAGGCCAACATGGCTAAAAGCAGGTCACGTTCTCTAACTGAAAGAAATTATTAAAACGCTACTGTTTTGGAAAGGAGAAAGGTTTGTCTTTCCTTTACACAGCTGCAACTATAAGAACTACCTCTTCAGAAAAGATGAGTCTTAATTTATTATATTTGTCAAAAGTGTTGACATTTTGTGGATGGAAGCCATTGGACGGGTAAAAATGAAAACAGTTTAACCTCCATACTGTCGTCTCACTTCTACAGTTAGTAAAGGAGCTGAGAATAAAGACTTTAAAATTGGTCACCATAAGCAGTTCTGGCCTTGAGTGATCCTATTTCTAATGCTTAATGTAATTTGTTTATCTCATAGTGCTTTAGATCCTCAATACCAAATGACAAATTAGTGAGTGAACAGAGTAAAAGAGACTTGCTTGAATCTTTTACTTGATGTGTGCACATAGTTCATCATTTTATGCAAACAGAGGAAATCATACAATGAAGGTGCAATTGCTGTAACAGGAAATAGGATGTCTAAAAGGTCTTTGTTTTGCTTTGGCAATGGGGGGTCAATATAAATGAAGATGGCTTATTGTATTAATAAATGAGGAAACAGTAAATAAATAAAATATGAGACACCTAATCTAAATTTAGTGCCAGGGCTTGAATCCAACTTTGGAGGATAACACAGGAAACCCCTGTGTGTGCTTTATGCAGTGAAAGTTTGTCTCAATATTACTGTCGGCAGTGAAGGATGGGAGGCCTAAATTAATACTTTATGTTGCTGCAGAGCCACAGATGGAGCAGATCTTCAGCTGAGGTATGTCATCTTAGCTCACTTGACTTAAATGTATTCACAACACTTTAAGTGGAGGATATGGCCAATAACATACATATGAATTGGGGAAGTGTAAGTGCTTTTGTGATGGTTTCAAAGCAGAATTTCAGTAGAACAGATAATACTTATCTGTGCTGGAAGACTAGGGAAAAAATCAGCTTTAGTGAGCAATTTATGCTGTTGCTAAAAGTGGCTTTGACTTGCTTCAGTTAGCATCATCACATGCACATTTATAATTTGACATTTCAATTAATTTGTAATTAGCTGAAACTCATAACATATATTGTTGAAGTCAGTAGAAAAAACATACCAAAGATTTCACACACATGTAGAAGCCAAGTAGTATAAATACCTAACATAATAGTTCAGAAGAACACATTTACTACACGCCAGTTTCTCCAGACAATGCTCTTTTAGTGAATCCCTTTGATATGAACACCAAACAAAAGATTTCATCTGCTGTATAAGACCCCCATGTAACAACAAGTAATGAATGTTAGCTGTAGGCATTCATTTTTGAAAGCTACCTGCAGATATAATTAAACCTCTATAAAGTAATAGCTCACAAAGGAATAGGCTCCATTAAAGAGGAAAATGATTTTGTATCACATCCTTTCATGTAAGAGCTCCCAGGTGTATTTTATACATTTCTTTCAGATCAGCCTTTAAGACAGTTTAGACTGAATGGGTCCCATATAATTCGGCGATCTCCAACTGGCTGCCAACACTTTAAGCCTTTAGCCAACATCCATTTAACAGCATTGAAAATGACAATTTATTTGTAGACCCTTACATGATGTAAAGTATTTGAAAGTGAGATGGATTTTTCAATTGTTTTGGTATGGCCAGCTACGGTTTTTTAAACATTAAGACAATAATTGGATTCATGAAGATACTAGAAGTTGCATGGTAAATATGACTAGACATAAAAGAATACCAGAGACCAGCCTGGTTCTTGAGATAACATATATGCTTAAGCAATAGTATTTTTGTAATTGTGCTAGAGGAGTTTAACATGAAAAGCAAATATATTTAATTTCAGAGACTTTGCTTTTATCTGTATGTTTGAATGTTTCAGAATGTTTGGTTAGCTTCTTAACTTGTGATGCAATTTAATTTTGTTGGTGCTTTGCTTCCTGAATTTTTGAGCCATCTATTCTATTTCCTCTTTTTTCCCCCTTTTTCTTTACACAGGGCAAAATCCTTAAGATCTTTCTTTCTCCTTATTTAGTTGAAGTTTCTCTCAAGCATATACATTTTTTGTGTTGTATAGTGTCTTTAACTGTGGTGCTTATTCTTTTCAATTGCTATATTTCCAAATTGATTACACTACCCTCCTTGTACCAGATCCCTTCGATATTGCACTTGAAGGTAAGGCTATGGCCACATAATGCAGAAGAATTACCCCTTCCATCCTAAAGCTCAGTGGTTCTTTATCTTATAGAGACCACAGTAGGCACTTTTTAAAACATAGCAGGCATTGCCCCTAAGAAAGAAATATATTGTTTTACTTTGCAGGCTTGGAACTTGTTATATTGAAATGTCTGCCAAAACCTTGTCATCCTCTGGAGATGTTTTGTACATCATACATTAACTTTCTGGCAGTTTTCCACCAGGTGCAAATATTTTTTCAGAGGCATTAATTATAATTCAGGGAACATTTTTTTCCATAGACAGTCATGTCATGAGATTAACCAGAGATATAGTGGTATTATAAGCATCACCAGCCTTCTCATTCCAGGTTTAGTTGACAACATAAGCAATATTTGCAATGACCACCTTACTCTGAAGATCCTTAGCCCTTTCTTTTTTTCTTAAAAGGTTGAATCTTAAATGTTTGAATTTTGAGTCACTGCACTTTGATTCACCCACACAAGTACAAATTGCACAGACTTCAATTTTAGTCTCTCCCTGCTCTCTGATATTACTACATCAAATATGTTTCAGAAGCATGGAAGCCATTAAGAGTGCTTTCCTCTTGTTATAGGCAACCAAATGTTTTTGATTTCCTTTCATGTTATGTGATAGGGTCCCAAAATAAATTAAAGGAAAAAAACTTTCAGCTTATGAGACTCAGTTTATTATACTTTTTTTCCAATAGAAGAAAGAGAAGTGTAAAGTGCTGCTTGAGTTCATTCCACCTTCTTGCTGTCTCAATGACCCGGTCTCTAATTCTTGGTGAGTTCATGTTAGACACATATCAAAAACATTCCCAAATGTGCATTTAAGAATGAGATTGTAATTCATATATATTGATCTTCATTCCTGCCTCTCCTTTGGCTCTAGGTATATTTCCATAGTGCAGTGTATTCTGTTAAACTCATATTTCATTATGGGCATCGGTTGGTGGGGAGGCACTTTAATTAGAGTGGCTCTTGGGAGCTGCTCTAATTAAAGTGCCCACAGCATCTCGTGTATTCATCAGCATTTGATGAGCTTTAAAGTGTTCCCACTGCCATTTTGAAGTATGGGGACACTAAGTACATGACATCAAGGCTGCTGAAACATGCTAATGAGCATGCTCCTGCAGACTTGATTAATCAGCTGAAGATCTAATTAGCACGTCAGAGCACATGTATAGGTGCCCTATGAGCCTGATGGGTACACTAAATTTGCAATGAGATGTGAGACTACCTGGTGAATGGCAGTTTATTCACTTCAATTGTGAAAGCTTTGTTGAAACTGTAGGCGGTCTCTTCAGAATTATTTGAAACAATATAAAGCAACACAAAAAAATAACAAACCCTAGGAAGAGGGGTTTAATCACAACCTCTGACAAGCTTTGTTCTGTAAAACCTTAGAGTATAAATTGTATGTCAGCAAACAAGCTGCCAGTAAAGTAAAATGTTTGGGATATGTACAACCATATATTTTCTACTAAAAACTCTAAAAGGCAGTATTTTTGTCTAATGGGCAAATTTTGGTCTGTTTGTAATATTATGCTTTTAGAACTCCCATAAAAAAATCCTTCAAAATAACAATTTTTCATTGTTAATCATAGGGAATTTTTCTTATGGTACAATAAAATTACTACTTATCTATTATTACTGTTATTATCCCCATTTCATTGAATGATATGCCCAAGATCACACAGTGAATCCATGGTAGTCAGGAAAAAATCCCAGGTCTTCAGACTCCCCATCCCCAGTTCTAGTTATTATTCCCAAATGAAGAAAAAAGGAACATACATGATACATATATATATTAAAAATGGACATACAAAATTTTATGCTCCTGGGAAAAAATGTAAAGACAAATTTTGTGTGTTCAGTTACCTGTTTGCTATTTCATACACATATTTTACGTGCACTAATTTATCTGTTTCTGAAAATACGACTCAAAGCATCATAATTTTGGTTTATACTACTAAGCTTGTATATTGCTAGTACAAGTATGTTCATTGCTACATCCAAGGGCCAGGACAGGCTCCCAGTCCTGGTTTCTAACTCTTCAGTTCACAGTGATTGTGCCCCGTCTGGAAAAGTTGTATTCAGGGAGAAGAGCTGTTCATACCCCCCAGTAATAATAATTGGTCAGGTTGTAGACAATACTGACAGTACTTTAAGTGGAGCCCAGAGCTTTTGCATCAGGTATAGAACATACCCCTTTACATTTCAGTCCCAGGATTTGTTACCCTATCACAATTAGTTTTCTACAGATGAAATTATACTCTTTTGAAATTTAGTTTAAGTTAATCTTTGATGCAAAAAATAATATGTAAACGGTAAGTTTAAGAATGTAGCCAAGCAGATGAGTTTGGGAACTCATCTTTCAAAAAGCTGAAGTAATTTAATCTCTGGCTTTTTTTACAAAACACTGCTGAGACATTGGCTCTTTCAAAACATTTGTCTTTAAGTTTTCAGGAGGTTTACAGAGGTTTATTTGTTGTAGCAGAAATCAGATGTGGTCTTTGTGATGTACATGGAATGTTGGTGTTGTGGCAATGTCATTCTCTGCATTATTTGTAGGCATTTCGTAAGGTTTTCTGTGACAGGGGGCCATCATGAGGCCACCCACAATGTTGGGCTGCCTACCTGTCTAGGGCAGTCTGCCCTGTCTTGTCTGCCTTGGCTTGATGTAGAAAAGAAAGATGTAATAATGCGAGAGGCTTCCCATTTTATGTCCTGATGCCCATGGTATTATACACAGCTCCAGCCTTCCCTATACCATGTCCCATGCCTTGCAAATAGCATCCAAAATCAAACTTCCCCTGGCTACCTTGCTGAGCCATATCACTCAGCCTCTGGCCCAAATTTGGCCTCAGGCATCCATAGACTTACCATGGCCGTTATGCCCACTCATTGGGGCCTCCACTCATGCCCCTTCACTGGGGCCTAAACCCAGGCCCTTCATTGAGGCTCACTTATCAAACTACTGGGACCTGTCTATGCGTAGTCCTTCAGGCCCTGCTTAGACCCTACTCTACACATCCCCGTGTAGCCCTTTGGGCTCACCTATGCAGACTCTACTCTATGCCCTCTCTTAACAGTCCTTCAGGTCCCCATATAGATTGTATGCTGTGTGGCCTACTACTTATCATTATGCCCCCTCACTGGGGCCACTCCTCCTCACCCTCACTAGGCCCTCAGGGCCTTATGTCCCTTGGGTCCCAGGCCTGATGATAATACCTGGACCCGTTTCTGTCCCTACTCTGGGGTTACCCACCAGGTTGTGGGTGTTGGGGCTATAAGGTACCCCATACTTGCCTTTCACTAGGGAGGCAACTGGTGTGGCATTTCCTGGAGACCATCCTGCCACAAGCAGCCCCACCACCCCATCCTACCATAGTAGGGCATAGTTTTAGGTCATGCCTTAGGACCAGGAACCTCCTGCCATCCCTATGGTTCCTGTCCTGTACTCCAAGTTGTTATGTGAGCAGCAGCTCCAGTTGGGCACTATTCCCCCTCAGGCTGCTTGCAACAAGCTTTTGGCCCTACTGCTCAAAGCTTGCTCTTGTATCTGGCAACTGGTCCCACTTCCCAATCAGGCAGCCTCCTACTGGCCATGTGACTCCTGATTGGGAGTGTAGCCTCTTGCAGGCTGCTCTGTTGTTTATTATAGCCCTTAAAGTGGCAGGCACCAAAGGTGCCCTACCACACTTTTCTCAAGGACCTGGTTTCTACTATGTCTCAATACATGAACAATCTATTCAGACTCTGGGGATAATCTATTTGTAGCAAATTAAACTAAGAATTGGCAGGTGGCATTTTCTTGATTTATAGTTAAAACTTTTAAGAAAGGTGAATATACTCTGAATTTCTTATATCTGATCACGTCATTGTACATCTGTGGGGCACATCTACATGTGCATTAAGGCACTTTTCCTAAAGTACATTAAATTTAGTACCCCCAATGTGAAGTACTACAGAAATGCACATTAGGCTGCCTTAATGCACAGTAATGAATGCACGTGGTATTTAAATGTTGCTTAATTCACAATAGCCTATTTTGCTGCTCATTAGCATAATCACGTGGTTTTTCACATGATGTTTTAATGTGCAGTAAAATAGGCTACTGCCCATTAAAGTGCATGTGTGGACATGCCCAGTGTATTGCATTTAAAATACCTTATGTGTTTCAATAAACTACCCTTGTCTACTACCCATCATTTTTAAACAGTATTCTTAAAATTATTTCTACATTATTGTAAGTGTTAGCATTGTTAACACAGCACTGCCAAATACTGAGAGCTCCTGTGTGTATATGGTTAGAGACTCTTCTGTTATTCCTTTAAGTTTCTGGCTTTCCTTGTAAAAGGGATTTTAACATCTGCCTTCAGTTAAAAAAAATACACTCCGGTACTTTTAATTAAAAAAGGGTGAATTCAATTTGCCTAATTTCTAACCCACCTGAACATAGTTCAAAAGTTCAGCTAAAATGCAAATGTTCTCAGCTTTATATTTTACTTAGGAGATACCCAATAAAAAGAAGCAGAAAGAGGCCATGAGGAATGGATAAATTAGGCAAAAAATGTAGATAAGAGAGAAAACAGTGGGGGAAATCAAAAGGATTTAGGGGAAAAATGTAGAGAAGGGATACATTCTTATTGAAAATGAGATACATATATAAGGCCCATATTTCTCCAAGCCTACCTTGTAAGATCAAACATGGGTTTTAATATATTAGCATAAAAACATATTTGTTTTTAAAATGAACATTTTTGAGAGGGAAACATGATTGAAGTCACAGGAACAAAAGTCCTAATAAACTCATACTAGTGTTGCAAACCCAACTAAAAATTTGCAATGCTCACAAAACCCAGTATTCCACAAGGTTCACTCACCAGATGTAATAATTACAGGTAGGATATTTGGCTGGTCAGGAATTATTAGAATTCTCAGCCTCTTGAAGGCTCAGATCAAGTTTAGTGTACCTAAAAGCTTAGCAACACTGTCAGAATATGGATGGTTGAAATTGCTTAAGGCAGTTTATTAACTCAGGAGACACTATTTTGATCCTTCTTTTTCAATTTGTTCACATCAAGTAAACATTTTAATGACTTTTCATGTTGAAATTGAGTTGCTGTTATATCTGTCAACTGGTAGGTGGGCATCAGAGGCATTTTACAAAGACTTGTGCAAGTGAACAAGCAGAAAAGAGGCAACAAAATAACTTTCCCTA